CGTGTGGACAGGAGTCCCGCAGATCTAAATGCGGACGAGCTGACAGAAACGTTAGTGAGAGCATGTGACACGACCATGCCGAGGAAACTGGAGCCAAATAACAGACGTCGTCCAGTCTACTGGTGGAACGAGGCACTTAGCACTCTTCGCGCTAGTTGTCTCAGAGCAAGAAGACGTGTTCAGAGAGCAAGAACGGAAGCAGACAGAGAAGAACGAAGAGAAGTGTTTCGAGCGGCCAGGGCCGCACTTGACCGAGAGATTAAGCAGAGCAAGTCGAACTGTTTTAAGGAGCTGTGTCGAGACGCTGATTCCAACCCCTGGGGCGACGCATACTGAGTCGTGATGGCGAAGATCAGAGGTCCAACGATGCCCGCTGAAATGTGTCCAGAGAAGCTGAAAGTCATCGTGGAAGGACTTTTCCCGAAGCACGACGCAACAACCTGGCCACCTACACCGTACGGAGAAGGAGAGGGATATAACGTCGAAGGAACTCGTAGCAGTGGCGAAAGGATTGAAGGTGAAGAAAGCTCCCGGTCCGGATGGAATCCCCAACGTAGCGTTGAAAGCGGTGATCCAGTCATCCCCGGACATGTTCAGGATGGTGCTGCAGAAATGCCTGGACGAGGGTCACTTCCCTGACAGGTGGAAGATACAGAAGCTAGTGTTGCTGCCGAAACCAGGAAAACCGCCGGGGGATACAGCATCGTACAGGCCTAAATAATAAATACACGGAGAGTGAGCACGGATTGTCGGAGAGGCAGTTCGGATTCCGGAAAGGGAGATCGACGGTGGATGCAATTCGGACAGTGGTCGAGAGAGCTGAGAAGGCGTCCAAACAGAAGCGGAGAGGAGATCGATATTGCGCCGTGATAACGATCGACGTCAAGAATGCGTTCAACAGCGCCAGCTGGGAGGCCATCGCCGAAGCACTGCATAGAATGAGGGTCCCTGACTACCTGTGCAGGATCCTGAGGAGTTATTTCCAGAACCGGGTTCTGGTCTACGAGACAGACATGGGACAGAGATCGATTAGGATCACAGCGGGAGTTCCACAAGGCTCCATCCTTGGTCCAACGCTCTGGAACGGGATGTAAAACGGCGTGCTAACGCTGAAACTGCCCAAAGGAGTTGAGATCGTTGGCTTTGCGGACGACGTCGTCTTGACGGTAACAGGCGAGACGCTGGAAGAGGTGGAAGTGTTGTCAACCGAGGCAATCGACATGGTTGGTAACTGGATGAAAGGAGCGAAGCTGCAAATAGCCCACCACAAAACAGAAGTGTTATTGGTCAGTAACTGTAAAGCGGTACAGCGGGCAGAAATCACCGTCGGGGAGCACACCATAGCCTCGAAGCGTGTGTTAAAATACCTGGGAGTGATGATCGATGACCGGCTAAACTTCAACAGCCACGTCGAATATGCCTGTGAGAAGGCTTCGAAGGCCATCAACGCGATAGCTAGAATTATGCCGAACAACGCTGGTCCCAGCAGTAGCAAGAGGCGTCTTCTGGCCAGCGTGTCATCATCGATACTGAGATATGGAGGTCCAGCCTGGGTTCCAGCGCTGGAAACGAAGCAGAAACAAAGTAAACTGAGCAGTACGTTCCGGATCATGGCCATGTGAGTCGTGAGTGCGTACAGAACCATCTCGTCGGAAGCAGTATGCGTTATCGCAGATATGATCCCTATCGGCATCACCCTGGAGGAGGACAGCGAGTGCTACAGGCGGAAAGAAGCCGGAAGAGTAGGAAAGTTGTGAGAGTGGAGTCATTGGCTAAGTGGCAACAGGAGTGGAACACGACGGAGAACGGTAGATGGACACATAGACTAATACCGATTCTTTCGACCTGGGTGAACAGAAAACACGGAGAAGTCAATTTCCACCTAACGCAGTTCCTGTCTGGCCACGGCTGCTTCAGGAAATACCTGCATCGGTTCGGACACGCAGCGTCCGGAGTGTTTCAACGTCGATGAAACGCCGGAGCATGTGGTCTTCGACTGTCCAAGGTTTGAGGCAGTGCGAACGGAGATGCCCGTCCTTAACGTGGAGAATGTCGTCGTTGAAATGTGTCGAGAGGAGGGCACTTGGAATGCCGCCAGCAGGGCAGTCACGCAGATTATGTCGGAGCTGCAGCGTAAATGGAGAGAAGAGCAGCGATCAAACAACCCCAGCTAGCGCTGAGAGTACGACAAGTGCATGAGCACAGCCACCCCCCAAAGTAGTCGCTTCACAGTGGTCCCGGGGGGATCCAGGCAGACGAGAGAGTCAGGAATGGGTTTTAGTGGAGCTGCACTAGGCAACTAGTGGATACCACACCGTGCCAACTTCATTACAGGCCAGGCTTCTTGAAGCTTTCCTAAATCTTACTATAAAAAAAAACACACACACACACCTACATTTTCCGATATCGTTGAGCTGAGTTGATCGGTATGAGACTCGGCTCTCCGGGCCTCGGATCGGGAGTGGGTTTTCCAAGCGATATATATCCCCTTCTTTGTAAGAAGGGTAAAACAACAGAAAAAATCCCACAGAAGAGAAGTGTCCGTTGAAATTTCCATCAGATTTCTGCCTGATCCTTCCCTTGCGATGCTTTTGCAGTTGCGACGACGACGGTGCCAGTAGCAACAGCCGTGCGATAGAGCTTCGTTTCGGAGAAAATCGAGGAAAACATCGGTTTGTTTTGCAGAAGAAATCTCAATATCAAAAGAAAACAAAACAATACCTCGGGTAGAACAGCTGTCGAACTGGTTTGAAACAGTGCTTGCCTTGATCCAAATTCAGTTCAGATTAGATCAAGAATTATACTGGTTAAAAAAAAATATATATTTTAGAACAAAATGTAGACCACCGGTACAAGAGCTCGGTTTGGATCTGTTTCAAAAATTTTGACCAAATCAGCCAATTGGACCGCCGCTAAAGATGCCCTAAAGCCACTATTGTCTAGACCGTTTCAGATTTGAATAAAACTTTGCACAGGTGACATTTTCCATAAAAGAAAATTTTAATTAGGGCATTAGTAGTCACTGGCGTATTAGTACTCAGTACGAAAACAAATCAAGGGAAAAAAATAGTCCGGAAATAATTTGTTTTTGTTTCTTGATTTGTTTTCCGTACTGAGTACTAATGCTACCGACCCATCAACTCATGGACCGGGAACCAACGGCTTTACTTCCCTTCCGAAGATGAGATTTTATTCCTCAGAAAATCCAGGTGGCACCGACTGGGATTGAACACATGCCCTTTGGAGTGAAAGGCAGTCACGCTCACCACTACACCACTGGCGCGGCTCGATTAAATTGTTATTAGAGCGTATGTATACATGCTATACAGTATACACGGATAGAAATCTCCTTATACCTTTTGGCAAATTTCCATTGCTGATTATTCATAAAATGTATAAGTCAACTAATAAGCAGACGCCTTGCAAAAAGTTAATAAAGATCATGTGTCAAATGAAATGTATAAGCGGTCACACATACCTTTCATGCATTCTAATAGGACCTATGTGGTTTGTTTAATGGAATGTATAAGGCTGATGCTTTGGCAAAATTGTATAAGTGAAACACATGAATTAAATAATTGATTTTCGTTTCGTGTACTAACTTATTTGTTACAAGGGCGTATGTAAAAAATGGGTTTTACTTGCTCATAAAATCGTATCCTGAAAACGGTAAAGGGTAAACGCTCCTATAGTTGTGATACGTTAGAAGCGTTTAGTTCCTATAGTTGTGTATTGAGTCTCCATGCACAACTATAGGAACCTAACGCTTCTAACGTACCGCAACTATAGGACTGTTTCCACTTTACATTACGTCTGAGAAGAAGTTGAAGTTAAAAATTTGGTTTCTTTGTCCAGCTACAACATGTATTTTTCATGATCATAGCATTTTTTTTATATATTTGAAAATTTTCTGGAACGTTCTTTATGACCAAAAATCCTATTTCATTCTTCAGATAGCCATTTTGAATTCAGCCATATTTTTTAAAAAGTCTTTAGATAAACTCTGAGCTTATCTACTGAAAACTGTTACTCGAAAACTTTGTCCAGTCGGTTTGGTGTCTTGGAAAATGTTTTAGGTAATTAATGAAAAATATATATTTTTGCAAGATATTGAGATTAACATTCAAAAAAGGTTTAAAATTATGGTAATATATAATTTCCTACAATTTAAATTCGGAATAACTTGAGAACAGGTGAAATTAAAAACAAAATCTAGTAAAATAATGCGTAGAATTTGTTTCTGGTTTTATTTAACAAAATATGCGAAATTTTAACGATTTTTAAATTTGATACAAACAAAACATACTTTTAAGCATTGTTCCATCCAATACTCTGCAGCAAGGCCTAGCATAGCATTTTTCACAAAACATTTAATAAAAAAAATTTGAAGGAGAGAGAAAAATTCAGAAAATTATCGATTAAACTCTTAAATATGATTTTACAGTGCTTTATCTCTCAATGATTATTTTTCGGATATACTATATTATTATCTGCAACTTCAACTTAGACGTAATTTTCATCAAATATATTGTTTGTCCAGGAGTTCGAAGAATCACGACAGCTGAAAACTTTGCGGAATGAACTTAACTGATTCGACACTTTCGGAGGCAAAACGTGTGTCAAATAAATTGATGAAAAAAAAATGGAAATGTATATACGATTTTTATCAAAAATGAAACAACAATAATACATAATGAAGTAATGAAATTGGGTTGTTAGCGGAATGCTAAATAAAACAGCAAAAAAGGTTATCTTCCATATAATACATATTATTGTATGGAGGGAATAGTTTCTTCTCTGGTTCACAGCCTCCAGAGGAAAATTAGAGCAATGTGTAGGTAGCTACCACCACAAACAGCCAGCTTTTGGCATGGAGAGCCACCGTAGTAAGTGAGAATTATCAAATTGTCCCGACCTGTAGATTTAATACGGATCATTTTTAAATCCAATTTACAGAGCCTCGAGGCATGTATCTTATTGTTTGCTTCTTTAATTATTAGATGAGATTTTGTGGCAACGATGTCAGACGATTCAGAAGAGGCTTGTTTGGTTAGACCCAAATCACCATCACTGTCAGTTACTGCAGCCGGAACAATGCAGTACACACACGGACTAACTGGCTCACAACTGCAAGTGTATAATAATAACAACAATAGCAATCACCATTCTACCCACAGTCAGGGTTCGCATTCGACGGTTCGTGGGTCGCAGTCAGAGTCAGGAGAACTAATAGATTACAGTGACGATGTTATTTTGAGCCAATTCCACGCGGACGCTATCAAACAAGCGGGCTTTGGAAAATTCCAACTGATTGCTTCCTTTATCACCGGTCTTGGCCTAGCAGGACATGCCATCCAAGTGTACGCTGTTTTCTATATTATTCCATCGGCTGAGGTAGAATACTGTATTTTGGATACTGAGAAAAACTGGCTTGGTAAGTAGGTAAAAACAGCCCAAACTGCACACTGGGGTAAAACTCTCGATGCGGATGTTCATAGCTTTCTCGTTTTAAATTCATGAAGTTGATAAGCAGATTTATTAGCTCAGTAGGGGAAACGCTCCTATAATTGTGGTACGTTAGAAGCGTTAGGTTCCTATAGTTGTGCATGGAGGCTCAATACACAACTATAGGAATCTAACGCTTCTAACTTACCGCAACTATAGGAACGTTTACTCTACTTAAACCAGGATTTCTAATAAAAAAAAATCATTGCATTGGAAAGCCCGGGGTGCATATTGGCCTGTTCTACCCGAAAGAACTTCGTTCTTAGAGTAAAATGAAAATTGATTTTGATTATTTTCATCAGGTTCTATAACCCTACTGGGAATGGCTCTTGGAGCTTTATTATGGGGTGGACTTGCCGGACGGGCTGGCAGAAGAAAGTCATTATTGAGCTGCCTAGCAGTATGTGGAGTATTCTCGGTGATTGCAGCCTTCATGCCGACGTATGGACCATTCATGATGGCAAGATTTTGCGCAGCGGCAGGAATCGGTGGAGCGTTACCTACAGCATCTGTCTATTTGTGCGAGTTGACTCCAGTCAATTTTAGATCTCGCATTTTAGGTCTCCTTGGAGCATTTGGAGTTGCAGGAGGCTTGGTTGCCGGTGCCATTGCCACTAGTACCGTGCCAGAAACTGGACAAAAAGTGGTGCTGGAAAACAAGGAACACTTCAGTGCTTGGCATCGTTATTTGCTGCTGAGTACACTGCCAACATTTGCGTCAATTCTTGGTCTATTCTGGTTACCCGAGTCACCGAGATATTTATTGGAAAATTCACGAGAAGTTGAAGCATTAACAATCTATCAGGTATGAATGAAAAAAAAATATATATTAATTTGAGTTTATGTCGACATTTATATGTTTTTGTTTTCATCTAGAAAATATACCAAAACAATCGTACCCGTGGAGGATATTCTCTGACAGAACTTGAGTTACCTGGCACAAGAACACATCGTAATCTGCCAACATCAGTATTGCAAGAAATGGCAACTAGCGTTGCTCTATTCTTTGGCAGCTTTTTTCAACTGTTCAATGTAGTCAACTTAAAGCGAACTTTGCTATTGTTTACCGCATGGACGGCGACGATTTTTATATATCATGGTTTGACTATCTATATTGCCGAGTACTCAAAAAGCACGGAATCAGATAACTACTATCGCAATACAGTATGAGTTTCGACTTGTTCTCCGGTGAATAACACACGCATCATACACTCTCATTTGCTATATTCCAGATTAATAAAGACAACATGTCCTATGAGAATACCGATTTTAACAAATCAATAGAAAATATGGTGTACACAAATTGTCGTTTCGTCAATTGCACGTTCAGGCGGATGTTTATGAGTCACGTGACTTTTAATAATTGTACGTTCTCAGGCACGGAGTTTACAAATGTAAAAACTAGTCGTACGCAGTTCAAATTTAGCATACTGGAGAATGTTGGGTACAGTAGATGTGACATGTTTCATAAGTATATCCGTTTGCGTAACTAGAACCCAATTCTAGAACTAGAAGTCTTAATCGGTTTTATTTACGTTCAGAATAGAGATCATGTAACATGTAAAAAAGGGGAAGTGTGTAAGTGTTCAAGTTTTTGGTGCTGGGCCTAACTCAAATTTGAAATACATTTTCAAAATTCAATTTGCATAGATATATGGAAAAATATATGTAATAATCTTATGTGTCGAAATAAATAATGCAAAAAGTTAAAAAAATATATGACCACCAAGGCCAAACACTAGTACACCTACCTAAGTTAAAACATGAAAAATGCATGAAGAGAGCCTATTTTTTTGCTAACTATCTATCCTGCTCTGCAGTGTTTTACACAAATATAATATTTTCTAGGAGACAATAAATTAAGTTTAAACCCCTCTTCTAGTTACGCGAATGAGCATACCGTTATCAGATAATATTTTATTAATGTTTTCCTTTAATTTAGACTTATTGATACGGATTTGACTGAACGTCACTTTATGGATTGTGCAATGAGTAACTTAACCACATTGCGTCTACTATCAACTTGTGATCGAGACTTTGAATACAATATCTACCTGGACGCCTTGTGGAAATCTCACTTTGGTGCATTGTTACCAGGAATGGTGTTCATGCTGCTAGTTGGGGAAGGGTCTCATCGGTTTGGTCGTAGCAGAACAGCAAGTAAATATGAAGCAGTACTTTATATCAAATAATGTAACAGAGATAAATCTAAACTTCAATCTTTCAGCGCTGTGTTTTGGCTTTGCAATCAGTTTGACTATTACGTTTGCTTTCTTATATCATGACCTTCAAGTAGTTTGGACTGCTGGTTCGGCGCAAGGCTTAATGTTGGCAGGAATTGCTGCATTGACATTATTGGCTATAGAAAGTTATTCTACAAATTTGAGGTGATTTAACATATTTTGTTATGTGATTTTTATAAGTATGTTATGATGAGGATATGTGGTATCAACAGTATCGAGAATAACAATATATTTACTCGATTTAAAAGATTCAATGAGTGAATGGTTAAACTATATTTTTCGCATCAGTTAGCCGATTTAGTTCAGGTATGCACAGCAAAAAAATTATTTTGATATCACATCAAAGTGGATAGTGGATAGTTACTTGCCAAAAAGGACAAAACTATCATTAATACAGTGACATTACATAAACTGACATTCTGCTACTTTTACTGCATTTGTTTATTTTTGTGGCCATAAAAATAACATGAGATTTTCAACATGATTGAAGTGCATCGTCTTGGATGTAATATTAAATTTTTTTGCTGTGGGTATTGGGGGCGGATTCGATTCCCGGCCGGACTAGAAAATTTTCCGGGTTGCAGATTTTATCGAATTCCCTGGGTGTACACAGCAAATAATAAATTTTAATGTTACATCCGAGAGGATGCACTTCAATCATGTCGAAAATCTCATGTACCTTTTATGGCCACAAAAATAATCAAATACAGTAAAAGAAGCGTAATGTCAGTTCATGCACTGCATAAATGATAATTTTATCATTTTCGCCAAGAAATATTACACCATATGCAGTATATCCACTTTGATGTAATATTAAAATAATTTGTTTGCTGTGTGTAGTAGCATTGTGCTTGCCATATAATTAATTGAAATTGTAGAGGTAGTAAGTTAGTTTTCTTTATTATTGCAACTTTAAAAAGTTAAGAGCAGGCAAACACTCGCATTGTACCTACAGCCTTTGTAACATGTTATAATAATTTTTGACAGGAAAAATCTCATCAAGATATTCTTGTAACATGTTATATAGGGGAAATGGATGTAATGGCGGCCTAAATGCCCCTTATTTGGGCCCACACATAAATTCAACAATTTACTAATTTTTTTTTCAATAGAGACCAAAAATATACATTAATACCGTCCTAATGACGCGTTCATCTAGTTAAAATTGATAACTAGCAGATTTTTAGCGACCAATCTTAAATCCATAGGCCAACATAAGAGCCATTTCCTCTTTATAACTATCTAGCCTAACCGTAGCATAAGGAGCGTTAAAAGCGGGAAGTAGAGGAATATCTACAGATTCATGAGTCGCCTTATATGTGGATCCTGAATATTACTACATACTTCGTTAAATTGTTTTACAACCTGTAATGTTTCTGGAGCGCGCTAGGCGTTGATTTATCTAAATGTTGCTTGATAACAATGCATTTACAGGATGAGAGAAGGAAGGCACAATTTTATTGTTCACTTTGTTGTATTTATATTGTTTTGTATTACTCATCAAAATTAAAATTAAGCAGATGAAGCAGAGGAAGCATAATAATGCTTAACATTATATACATGTAATTATTATACAGGTACCCTTTTTAGAATAGATGCTACCAACGACCAATGATTTATAAAAAACAAAACTTGTTTATTTTTTTTATATTTTGCATTTCACTACATATATTATATAAAATATATATTGCATGATATACTATTACTATTAGCTTAATATTTCAGTTTACCCAAGCAAGTCATCGAAATTAATATGAAGCTGATGCAGCAGAGGAAATAACAACATTAAATAATATTATATGTATATAATTATTAAGCAGGTTACTTCTCGTCATGTTAGTTAATCATCACAATTTTTAGCATTATTGTTAGTATCATTTGAGCAAAATATATTTAATTGCTTAATATATCCTATACATCCACCTGCCATTGTGAGTTAAGGAGGTTTAGAGTTGCATCTTATTATATGTATTATACTTCTTCATTCTTCATATATTTTCACAATGTCATATATTAATGATCGGATATTTATCATTTCTCCATTGCAAATATTTTCATTATATTTTCATTATATAAATAAATACTGGGTTGGGAGGGAGCATCAGGGTATCATTCAAACTGAAACTGGACGATGGTATGATTGACAGCCGGAGTCTAGGAGAGAATAAACACTATCATTTTCTTTATCCTACCGATTCGATTGTGGTGGTGTGAATTCTACTCCAACAGTTTCAGAGCGATTGACGCGCCATTCCTAACAAACCATCCAGTAGGAAGCTCAATAAGTATTGCGAATTGTGTTATTCGATTTGTTGGAGCGTATCGTTGGAAGGAGATTCTTAAATTCCCGTGGATTTCGCGTAAGTGTCTCTGCTAACGGTTTCGCCTTTCCGTTTTTGGCCCTTCATACAGCGATATTGTAAATTCAGATCGGTAGCTCAAATTGATCTTGCTATTAAGTAGAGCTGCATACAAGACAAGTCTTGAAGGGATGGTGGCTACCTTACATACATACATACATACATACATCACAGTGAACAGACATTTATATACTGTTTCGAACTGAGTAGCGCTAGCGCTGGGATTATAAAAGGCTGAAAGAGAGGTAATGGAGGTAACCCACATAAACCTCAATCATTGTAACATTGCACAGAAACTGTTGTGGCACTCGACAATGGAATCAAAGTGCGGCATTGCAATCATTGCGGAACCGTATCGAGTTCATCCCGATAATGGCAACTGTGTGGCCGGTAGAGCTGGGATGACTGCAATACAAGTTATTAGCAGATCACACGAAGGTTTCGTGTCGCCAAAATCAACGGAATCTTTCTAGTTGCTGCGCACTCCCAGATGAACGATGCAGCAGCTCAATCAGATGCTGGGTAGACTTACCAAAGAGTTGATCTGAGGTGGGTGGTCCTGGACAATTCTTGAGGGGTTCTGTCCGCTTTGCCCGTTCCTATTGTGCAGTTACGGCACTAACGATGACCCTAAAAGGCTGTCAAACACTTCTTATGGTTGTTTTCTATTCCACCGTGATTCCACCGTGGTCTTCGAAACTAGCTAGCCGTATATGGGGCCAAAGAGAAAAATACACTTTTCCCATACGGTCTCTTACTCATAATTAATTATAACTTAACTCATTGAAAAACTGTGCACCGCCAAGTTTAATGAAATTATTGGGTTTTTCATTTAAAATACTTTCAAGACTCTCACGAATAACATCTCAAAAGGGCGAAAATTTCTCAAATTATGCGATAAGTGTATTTTAACCTAGAGTGTTTCGAAAATAACAGTTCTGGGTAATTTATGAATTATAAGCTTTTTGCTATAAATTTAAATTTGTTTTAATAATATCACTATTTCAAAGATATGCGATAACTGCAGGAAGTATTTTGGAAAATACAACTTTTTTAAATAATTCATAACTTTTTTGTTTATGAATTTCACAGCAAATACACAATGTCAGTATGTAGCACTTTATTTGAACTATAATATAAATATATAAAAATAATTTTTAAAAATTTGAGTAATTATAATTTTGTTTGATAGTTTTGATTTTTTTTTGTTGAAAATAAAATAGTTGTTTAGAGAGTTTATTTTTTCTTGAAAGGCACAATACTTGTCCGCAACTTCTTGTAAGACATCATCTCGATCGAACAAATCGTTCGGGAGATATATGTTTTTTTTTACTTATGCGTATCATTTTTACACAAAGCCCTTTTCAAATGTTAGTAGTCTACAAAACTAGGGAACCATATACAGCTGTGTTCGATAAAATAGCAGTGCATGCCGATTTTCATACAAAATGGTCAACTTTGATCAATTGAGCTGAAACGTTCGCCAAAGAACTACAAATATGTTCAATAGGGTGCTTCATTCTGAAAAAAGTGATGAATTTCTGATGGGCCACCCTCCAGTTCGATTCATAGCCCCAAAATATGAACCTGTGCAAAAATTGGTAAAGATTGATGAAGGTTTAGAGGTCGCGCCAATGATTTGAAATTTGTATGGGAATTACTATGGAAGAATTTAAAAAATCGCTTATATCGCTATAACTTTGCTTCTACTTGTCCAAATGTCGAAAAAATTTAGTATGTTATTGCTATGGCAATAAACAAAAAGCCTACAGTTGCTACGCTCAGTTTTGCAGCGTATCAAGAATTATAAAAATGTGAAAAAATGGCAAAATAGGGTAAATTGACAGATGAATATGTACAAGGCAACAACGCCAATTTCATCGCAACAACAACAGGCTTGTTGATCATTGTCATGACAACCACATATTTTTTTTTTTCAACGTTTGGACAACTACAACCAAAGTTAGAGCAATGTAAACGAAAATCAATAATTTCCCATACTAATTCACCAAAATCTCCATACAAAATCCAAATCATTGGCGCGACCTCTAAACCTTCATCAATCTTTACCATTTTTTGCACAGGTTCATATTTTGGGGCTATGAATCGAACTGGAGGGTGGCCTATCAAAAATTCATCACTTTTTTCAAAATGAAACACCCTAATGTTCAATTTTACGTAAAATTGAACATATTTGTAGTTCTTACAAAATATTACATTTTTGGAAGCACATGCCGGAAAGTGAGATGCCAGGTAAAATTGTTTAAAATAATAGCAGTTTTTATTTGAGCATTTACATGCTGCAAATATTTTAAACATTTTTAACTATTATGTACATATGTTAATTGAGTGGAGATTGTTAGAATTTTGAGAAATGTAAAAATTAAAATCTCAAAATTAAGCTGAAATGTTGGCCAATAACAAACAACGGTGTAAAATAATAAGTAATTCTAAAAAAAATTGATCCGAAACGATTTGCGAATCTGAGTGGAACTGCTCATCTGCACTTTGCTTGTCACGGGACGGTTCTCTGAAATATCCGTAAAAGTGGTGATGCTGCAATAATACATTTGGGTTTGGAACCAGCATGCGCAATTTGCTGGCCACGGAGTGGTCCTCCGGATGATTAAGAATATTGTTGTGATACTAAATATATGAATGAATTTGGATCGGAGACCAAAATGTGTACCCTTGCGGAGAGGTCATCCGGAAGATCATGAACATCCGTAAAAGTGGTCATTTAATCAAAAATATCCTAGATCTCTGGAAGCTTGCTACCTTAAT